AATTGAGTTATATGCCACAAATGAGGAGGTGCATACAGCCCTTGCGTGCTTTCCTCCCGGTTCCCCTGTCTTTTGTACAGATGATGTTAGATTTCGTTCATGTGGCGACGGTAAAATAAATACACACACAGTATATACCTGCAAACTCTAGCAAAGACACCAATAGAATCGCACGCTCAACGGGCTCTTCCTATCCGTATCGGGAGAAGCGAAGGCGGGAAGGCTCTCGCGGGAGCTGCCTGTTCCCTTAGGGATCCGGGAAGGTTAGCAGGATTTTTAGGGGAAACTTGTTCTGAACTGGATACGGCACCGGGATGGGTCCGGCGTCCGCAGCGGCGCTGCACGGGAGAAAGCAGTAAGAAAATGACCGGACCGATGGATTTTTTTTCCATGTGATCACTCCAATACCTTTCTTTCTTTCTTAAAAAAAAAATCCCTGCAGGTCCTGTGCCGAGTCCGTCTCCCGCCTCCATCCTACGGTACCCCGAGTCTTTCTGGCTGAAGTGGGGGGTCCCCGGTCCAGCAGCCTGTCCTCTCCGCCTGGCGGATTTGAGGAGCTGTCTGGTCTCGGTTCCGCAGAGCACTAATAAGGAAAGTCAGGACCTTCTTAGGGCGCTGCTGCCTCGTTCACCTGGGTCTCCCCCAGGGGCCTCTGGTTTCCTCCCGCGGTCCAGAGACAGTCTGGTAGGTTCCTGGGCTTCTAGGAAAGCTCAGAAAGCCGGATTTATCTCTGACACACGTAGGTTCACGCCATCTACTCCATTGTAAAGTACATACTGCCTCTGGAAAGGTTGACAAACTCAGCCACCAATTATAAACACGTTTTGTAGAGCAGGCTTTCATTTCAAGTGCAATGCAAAACCGCTACAAGAACCATCTCTTGCACCTGTGAAAGGCAGCACGGCTCCTCGCTGTTCTTATTTACAGCATAGGGAGGTCAGACAGGTCACAGACTAGAGGAGGCCTTTCGCACATTCCAGCCCGTTTGGTAGCTAATTAAACCAAGGATCTCATCCAGCTGTTTCTTGAGAGCCGTCAGGCTATTGGTTTCAATAACATGGCTGGGCGGCTTGTTCCACACTCCCACCACCCTTTGTGTAAAGTAGTGCCTCCTGTCCTGACTGAAGGATCTCATCCAGCTGTTTCTTGAGAGAAGTCAGGGTATCGGCTTCAACAACATGGCTGGGCGGCTTGTCTCCCACTCCCACCACTCTGTGTGTAATGTAGAGCCTCCTGTCCTCAATTTTTAATTGCACTTCCCTGTCATTCTCACTGGTGTCCCCGGTATGTGTTTCACTGCTGATTCTGAATGCTTAACCACTGTGCCACCCTAGGGAGGATGAATGCATATTATCTAAATACTTTGAAGTAACATACAGCGTCTTTAAAAAACTGAACTGTTCAATATTGATGACCTTCTGACCCTTTAACTGGTTTGAGATACACGGCAACATCGTCTTGCAGGGAAGATGAGCATGCGGCTCAGATGACTGAACTCGGGGGTGGCGCAGAGGGGCAGGCTGCATGGACATGATGGCTGGGAGACACTCAGCCCCATTTCAACACAAAACATGGGGTCCCACAGACCCTGCTGCTCATTCCATTAACTGCTTCATACTATGCTCCACACCTGGCCTCCATCAAGCTCCCCATTGACCCACGCGGGGTACAGTTTCTCTCTGTCCCCCTGATCTGATGTGCAGGTTGGGGTACAGTTTCTCTCTGCTCCCCCCCGATCTGCTGGTGCAGTCTGGAGTACAGTTTCTCTTTGCTCCCCAGGATCTGTGTGCAGGTTGGGGTACAGTTTCTCTCTGCTCCCCCTGATCTGCTGGTGCAGTCTGGGGTACAGTTTCTATATAATAATAATAATAATGTTTCTTTATTAGCCCTATACAATTTCTTGCATTAGGAATTAGTCTTTTTGCATACCCCAGCTTTTCTGCATGGAAACACAGACAGGGAGAGAAGCTTGGGGTCAGAGCACAGGGGCAGCCATTGTACTGCACCCCTGGAGCAGTTAGGGTTAAGGGCCCAATGGAGTAGGATTCCTCTGCAGGCCACAGGATTTGAACCAGCAACCGGCCAGCCACAGGTGCAGATCCTGAGCCACAGAGCCACTGCTCCACCCTTCTCTCTGCTCCTTCCCGATCTGCTGGTGCAGTCTGGGGTACAGTTTCTCTCTGCCCCCCTGATCTGATGTGCAGGTTGGGGTACAGTTTCTCTCTGCTCCCCCCCGATCTGCTGGTGCAGTCTGGGGTACAGTTTCTCTTTGCTCCCCAGGATCTGTGTGCAGGTTGGGGTACAGTCTGGGGTACAGCTGCTCTCTCTCCCCCCGATCTGTGTGCAGGGGG